AGCTTGGCGAGTAAAATTCAATGCTGATGCACAGAATTCTAACTCCACAGCCCAGAGTCGTCCCGGCTCAGGCACTGGCTCCTCCAGGTGCAGGGGAATGGGGTGACGCAGTGTGTCTGAGGCCAGCCCTGGGGCCAGGGAGCTGGGCGCTGGCAGGAGGGCCTGTCCCCAAGCACTTCTCCCCAGGGACAGGCTCTGGTTCGGGCCAGAAAGTCGGGGCCCCTGGAAAGAGGGCACTGCCGTTCTCCAGCCTTGTTCCCTTTAAGCACTCACGGGGGGCGGTGGGGGGAGGCTCACGGTGAAGCAGGCCTGCGCTGGCTGCTGGGGACGCGGATGAGTGCAGTGGGAGAGGCGGACACGCGCAGCGGGAGAGGTGCTGGAGGAAGCAGACAGTCAGCAAATACCGACTCAGACCATCAGAGTGGCTGAGGTGGCTACCCGGCTTCATCCATTTTAGCAATAACGGCCACAGTGGTAACAAACAGCTATGATGTTTTATTGACTGTATTGGGGTGACATCGGTTAATAAAATTATAAAGGTTTGAGGTGTACGATTCTATAACACATCATCTATATATTGCATTGTGTGTTCGCCACCCCAAGTCAAGTCTCCATCACCATTTGCCCCCCCCCACTTTGCCCTCTTCTACCTCCCCTCACCCCCCTCCTCTCTGGTAATCCACATACTGTTGTCTGTGTCTATGAGGATGTGTGTGTGTGTGTGTTTGTTTGTTGCTTAATCCCTTCACCTTCTTCTCCCCTATCCCTGCACCCCCCCACCCCCCCGACAAACAGCCATCATTTACTGAGCACCTACTAGCTGCCAGGCACTGTGCTGAGCACTTGACATATATCCACTCATTTCAGTCAACTCTGGCCTTCAGGCCCAGAGCAGGAAACGCCTGGTCTGATCTTCAGACCCAGGGCCTTTGCTCTCGGTCCGCCTTTCAGCAGAAGCGAGAGCACAGTACCGAGTCTCAGTTAACCAGCCAGCAGGCACCGGGGAATGGCATGCCTCGTTCTTCCAGGTCTCAGAGAAAAAAGGGAAAGTACCTGTCATTTCTCCGCTAAGTGAGTAGATGTGGGTGGAGTACTGACCATGTGTCGGCTTTGAGCTGAGCCCTCGTAGAGATTCAAAGTTATGTGAGATGGGGCCCTTAGGGAGCTGCCCCAGGGCACACAGGGCCCCAGGCTGCCTGAGCTCGGTCATCCCACAAGCCCGTCGGGGAAAGCTTCCTGGAGGAAGTGAGGCTGGAACTGTCCTCGAAACAGAGGTGCGGCATGGCAGGTGCGGGTGCAGATGAGGACAGGGACTCGGAGCAGGGAAGAACGGAGTAAACTCCGTGGGTCGGCAAGGACCAGAGGAGATTTGATTGACGGGGGAGGCCAGTGGCCAGAACAGAGAGGCTCAGGGTTCGGGCCAGGTGTGGGGAAGGTAGACGATACGGTCAGGTCCCGATGCGGAGGGCCTTGGAAAGGATGCCAAGGAGTTTGGGTTGTATCCTGTTGGCAGTGAGCAGCCATTGACAACGTTTGAGCTGGGAGGGATGGGTAAAAGTGAGCTTTAGGGTATTACGATGGCACGTGCAGGGTGGACTCGTGTGGGGGGGAGGGGGAGGGACAAAGCTGGGGAAGCTATGCTAATTGACCCCCACATCAGGGTCTCCAGGGGGGTGGGAAATGAGAGCAGCCAGGTGGTGTGGTGACTAAAGAAAGGGACCTGTGACTGGCCACTGGGGCAAACGGATAAGGATCAGGAAACTGAAACTCCAGTGTGACCAGCCTGGATGCCTGGGGACAAGGCAGACCACAGGCCGAAAGTCAGGAGATGGGGCCACACCCAGCGAGTCGGGTTTCAGCCTGGTGGGTCTCCAGGTGGGAGTGGTCCCCTCGCAGAGGGACTTAGAACTGATCTCCGTCTCCGTCTCCGCGTGGCAGGGCCTGTGCTAAACCATTTGCGTGAATTAAGTGATTAACACTAACAGCTCCCTGTGCGGTGGGTGCTATTGTCACCCCATTTTACAAGGGGAAAAAATGAGGTGCAGCGACCCTCGGTGTCTTGCCCGAGGTCACGCAGTACAAAATGTATGCACATGGAGGATGGAGACACAGCCCTAATGAAACTGCAGTCCACAGGGCTCAGTCCAGAGCAGAGTACCGTTAAACAGGCACAGTACCGTCAGGGAAAGCATTAGGTCATTACAAGAATCCCATCTTTTTGCCCTAAGTCTCTCTAAAAACGTGGAAAGGGACCCAAAGGACGACGTTTACCACATAGCCCTCCTGTCTTCCTCATGTCGGTCCCACCCCCACCCTCCTGAGCTGCCCCACTCTCCACGTCCCCCCAAGTTCCCTGGAGACCCTCTCTCTACCCCCAGCCCACAGGGCTTCCCTCTCTTGCCCTCCTCCTCCTCCTCCTCCTGTCCCCACCTTTTCCCTCCCTCTTCCTTCCACCCACTCCTCCTTATAAGTGGGTCCCTCTCTTGCTCTCCCTACCTCCCTTCATCTCTTCCTCCCTTTTCCTCTTTCTTCTTCTCCCCCCACCCCTTGTTCCCCTCTCCCTCCCTCCCTGCCTTCCTCTCTCCTCCCTCCTTCTCTAACTCCTTTCTTCCCTCCCTCCCTCCTCACTGCCAGCTCATTATTATGCAAATTGTCTTAATCTTTTGAAGTGGCGTCTTGCCCCTTCCTCCTTCCCCTGCCCGGGCCCCATCTGCATCACAAAAGCAGAGAGACTGGGCAGTCCGCCCTGTAAGGATCTGGGAGACTGGACAATTACAGGGTTAGGAGGCTCACAGAGAAAGTCTATATGAACAGTCCTAGCCCGTGTCAGTAGATTTACACACATGCACACACACATGTGTATCTATCAACACCTGAAAATGTGTGCGTGCATATACTTGCATATATAAAATACATTGCAAGCTAATGGGATAATAACAAAGAAAGAATGCCTTGAACTTGTGTGAGGGTTTTATTCCATTGAAAAGACTCCTGTTTTCATCATTTGTGCCTATGCCTACTTCTCTCGCTACATTCTAATGTCCTGGAAGCACAAAATCTAGATCTCATTCGTCTCGTACAACGCCTGACACAGGAAGGAAGGGGCCTGGAATCCGGTTCCCACTTCTACCACGAGCTCTTTGGAAGGTAAAATTATTTACCTTCCTCAGCCCTCAGTGTTTTTGTCTGTAAGATGGGCACGATCTTAATACCCTCCTCGGTTACAGGCTGTAAGATTAAATGAGACGATGCCTGTGAAGTGCTTAGGATGGTGCCTGACAGCAGAGAGTTCTCAGCAACACGTTCGCTCTTGTCCTTCCACCAGCTTGTTTAAAATTATTACTGCTAATAAAAATCGGTGACTTACCCTCCACTTGTCTAGTGAGGAATGGGTAAGGTTTTAGGTGCATTTTTCAGGTTAGATACAGAGGGACGAGGCGCCTAATTGGCTGCCTGGCCTGCACGGGACTACAGAGCCTGGCGGCTGGAACCGCTGCCCAGTGCGCTTCCGTCCCTCCGAGGGGCTCCGTGAGGAACCCCTTCCCCTCTCCCGCCCCCCCCCCCAGAATGGCAGCTCTTTGGGGAGGCCGTGTCATATTTCACACTTAGCTTCCAGGATGTCATTGGATCGCCTCTGGTCAAAGAAATCTTGACATTTAAATCACACCGTGGAGCTCAGAAGCCTATCCTATTTTTGATCATGAAAATATTTCGGTGCCATCTCCACGCCACGGCGCAGCGCTGCTCGCCCGGGGGTTTGCACTAACTCTGAAACAGACAAAAACAAGGATGCCCGCTGGCCTGCGTCCGCCTGCCTTCCCGGGGCCTGGAGAAACCTCAGTGGTGGCCGGCAGATCTGACGAGGCGCTGGGGGAGGTGACTTGTGAAGCGGCCGTGCCGACTCCTGAGGCCAGGAAGAGGTGCCTGCCTGCCTTGTGCTGGGCGCCAGGTACACAGCGAGGGGCAGCCCTGCCTTGTCCCTCTGCCTGCCCGGACTCAGAGAGCTCGGAACTGCTCCGTTGAAGGCGATCCAATTCTGCTGCTCCCTTTTGCAGATGGGACAAAACAGGCCCCATCTGGCTCGAATAGGAAAGGGACTCCCTCAAGGGCGGTGTGGCCGGCCCAGCACTGGAACTGAGGTTCAGGCACCAGGGCTCAGCTCTCTCTGCATCTCGCCAGGCTGCCTCAAGTCACCCAGCCACCGTGGGGCCTCCTTGTCTCCCAAGGGCCTTGAGGGGCTCCTGGGAGGAGAGTGAATTCCCCCGAGGACATTACCTGTTGGTTTGGGTTCTGGTCCAGGGCTCTGTGCATCCAGAGAGCTGCCGCCTACCCCCTGCTCCAGCTCCTGCCCGCAGCCCTTCTGACCCCTCCTGACCCCTGCTCCCTCCACCCCCAGCCCTGACCTGTCCCTCGTCTGTAAAGTAGGAATAATTCTGCAGCTCTGACAACCCAATACCACAGACAGGGCGTGCTGGCCATGCAACGTGACCCTCCAAACACGGCAGGACTGTGCTGCACACTGACCTCCACAGACCCTGTCTGGCCCAGACGGCCAGCTCACGGCCAGCTCACGTCGCCCAGCCCAGCCCAGCCCAGCGCTAGAAGTCTGGCTTTCTCTCCCTCCGCTCTACCAGACTCTCCTCCCACGATATCCCTGGTCCGAGGTCCCCAGGGCACAGTCCTGAAATAGCTCACTGCCAAATTAGGTCCAGCTTGTCCAGCTCTGTGGGCGCCCCCCACACATACACTTCTTTCCCAGCCCTCTGTCTCCCTACCTTTCCCCTTCCCGTCGCACTTCCCTGCCCGGTGCTGAGACCAGCCGGTCTCCCTGATGACCGCTGGCCAAGGAGAGGACGGCAGCCCTCCCGGCCCCAGGCTGGGGGGTCCACCACGGTTTTCAGGGTCTGCGGTTGTGCACCTGATAGTGAAGGGCCTGGACCCGCAGAGACCACCCACCATGGTCCCAAGTCCAAGGGCTCAGCCGTCAGCCTGGAGCCGAGGTCTGGGACTCTTACCTCCTCTCTCAGAGGACCCAGTGCGTGTCCTCAGAGTGACGCTGCTGCATGGTGGGGCCGAGGGCACCGCCTCTGGAGTCAGAGAGCCACAGGTCATCTCGGATCCTCCTGTTGGAGCTTGGTGACCTCAGACAGGCTCCCTCACTACCCTGAGCATCAGTTTCCCTCCTCGGTGTGATGGGGCCGCACGCTCACCTGGGCCCTGCACGGTGCTGAGCACTTTCCACGCGTTCACGCCCTCGCCCCTCCCCTTCGAGGGCGCCCCGATTCTTGACAGGACCCCGATTGAGACATCGACTCCATCGCTGTCCTCGTTCTGCAGATGAGAAAACAGAAGTGCAGGGAGAGGCGGTGACAAGCCCAAGGTCCCGGGGCTGTGGACCGGGTGGGAGCCCAGCAGCCTGGCCCAGGTGTGTGCTGTGACCCCGTCTGATGCGGAGGCAGGTCCACGCGCTTTTTTTCCCCCCCCCCCCGCCCAGGAAAGGCACTGGGCCGCACAGCTGGGCCCGGGCTCTGAGCTCTGTGCATAGCACATGGCTGATGCGCCCAGGGAAGCGGCCGTGGGCTCTGATGCCACAGTGTGGCCACCTGGCCTGTGGGCAGATGAGGCCACGGTGCTGACAGCAATGAAGGCCTCGTCTGCCCCCTCCCCGGCTCCTGGGGGCTCGCCAGCCACGGGTGAGTGGGTGGAGAGACGGCTCCATCGCCACCATCGGAGCATGCCGGGAGCAAGCCGGGGCACAGGCTTGGGCCCCAAGTCCCTGTAGATTCCGAGCTGGGTGGGAGGAGGAGACTCGGGCCTGCCCTCCTGAACGAGGCCGCTTCCTCTTGGGAAAAGTGGGAGGTGGGAAAGCAGCCCGCCCGGCCTGTCTCAGCAGCCGCACAGCCTGGTGGGGAGAAAGGTCTGTGGGGGCCAGTCTTTCCTCACTGTGACTCACATTGGACAGGCAGGAGCCGGGGACTGAGCACCGAGGGCCGGGGTCTTGGTCAGGTGAGGGCCCCTGAACCCGAGGAGTGCCAGGCCTCAGCTGGGTGGCAGAGGAACAGGGCCCTTCACAGAGAAGCTGGCTCCAGGCCCAGCCCAGCTCCCTCTGCTGTGCGGCTGCAGGCAAGTCCCTCGTCCCGCAGGGTCCTACAGAGAAACCAGGCTTCTACGCTCTCCCCTCCACCCGCCCCCACCACTTCAGTTCCATCAATTCCAAAACAAACGTCCTGTCGATTCTCCTGGCAGAACTTAATTGCTAAGTTTAGGTGATGACCAAGCACAAGGCTCTTCCTTTGTATCTAAAAGGAAAAAAGCCAGGCCGCGTGGCTCAGTGGTTGAGCATCGACCTATGAACCAGGAGGTCGCGGTTTGATTCCCAGTCAGGGCACATGCCAGGGTTGCAGGCTCCATCCCCAGTGTGGGGCGTGCAGGAGGCAGCCGATCCATGATTCTCTCTCATCATTGATGTTTCTATCTCCCCCTCTCCCTTCCTCTCTGAAATCAATAAAAATATAAAAAAAATTTAAAAAATAAAAAAAAACCCGAATTTCAAAGGCAGGGCCTGTGTGCCCCTTGAAGACTGACTTCTCTAGAGGGGGAGTTGGTGTTCCCACAGCTGGCAGCCCCGCACTGGAGGCAGCCCTCCACCCCCACGTGACCATGGGCACCATCCCAGCCCCACGGGAGCACCAGTGAGGACCGGCACCCAGAGACCACGAGCCGTGGGGGTGAAGCCACCAAATCGGGCAGAAAAACACTGTCAAGTGCTATGGTAGCTGCGTCTGTGTCAAGGGTCACCCTGTCTCGGGGCAGCTGGGGGAGATGACCGGCCACGTGAAGCTGTCAGTTTCGTTCTGATCAATCTGGAAGATTCCCTGCGTGGTGGGGAGAGGGAAGGTGGATTTCAGGAGCTGTTTGTTCGATGAGAATGCGATAGCAGAGCCCCCGAAACAGGCTGAGGGTGGGGTGTGGTAGCAGGGGTGCCTCTGGCACTGTCTCAAACATTAGGCATGCATTTCATTGATCCTCGCCCCACGCCCCAAGCACGTAGCAGATGTCCCATGGCACCACCAGGACACCTGGAGCTCCGAGCGATGGGGGATGCTGCTACCGGATATCCGAATATCCGCAGACCGTTTAGTGCTCTCCCCGCCCTGGTCAAGCCCCAAACAGCCGCGGGACCAGGCTTGCAGAATTAGGGGCTGCTCTCCTCCCCCTTCAAAACCCCAGACTGGAGGGGTCTGGATGCCGACAAACTCTGCCCCTCCCAGGTCCTCTGCCCAGCTGCAGATCCTGCTGCTGTCTCTCTCCATCACCCCTCGGTGCTTCCTTATGACCAAGCTTCAGGCTCACCCCAAGTATGAACCCTTTGTTTGTCTAGTCGTCTGTCGATGGGCATCTAAGGGGTCATTCCAGGGGTCGATGTGAAGAATATTAATACCGCTAGACTCTGACGCGCAGGTTTTTGTGTGGGTACGCATGTTTACTTCTCTTGGTAGATGCCCAGGAGTGGAACTGCTAGGTCATATGGTAAGGGTGTGTTAACTTCATGAGAAACTTCCAAACTACATTCCAAAGTGGTTGTTTCTTTTTTTTTTTTAATATATTTTTGGCATGTGCCCTTGACTGGATTCAAACCCGGGACCCTTCAGTGCACAGGCCGACGCTCTATCCACTGAGCCAAACCCACTTGGGCACGTGGTTGTACTATTTAGAATGTGTGAGAGCCCCTGCTGTCCCACGCTGTCTTCGACGTGTGGAATTGTCCTTTTCCTGTTCGCATGGAGAGATACTTCATCGTGCTTCGAATTTGCACTCCCCCGATGACTAGTGATATTTAGCAAGTTTTGAATGTGCCTTTTGGCCATGTCTATCTTCTCTTGTAAAGTATCTGCACACATCTTTCATTCTTTCTCTTTAATGGGTTGCTTGCCTTCTTACTAATGAGTTGTGAGAGGTGGTTTTTTGAGATAATCCTGGATACACGTTCTTTGTCAGATACACGTGTTGTGAATATCTTCTCCAGTCTATGGCCCTCCTTTACCAGGGACGTTTTTAAGCTGGTGAACGAATGAATGTCGATTGGTTGGCTCTCAAGCTTCCATCTCTGCTGTGGGGAACCCTTTCTCGTTATTTCCCTTGGGCCGTTGATACACGTGTTGTGAATATCTTCTCCAGTCTATGGCCTGCCTTTACCAGGGACGTTTTTAAGCTGGTGAATGAATGAATGTCGATTGGTTGGCTCTCAAGCTTCCATCCTGTGTGTGGGAACCCTTTCTCGTTATTTCCCTTGGGCCATGCGATGTTTCTCTCTGCAGGGAGAGAGGTTGTGTTGCCTTCGGGGTTGAGCTTCTGGACTCTGGGATCTGACCATCGTGGGTCCAAGTCCCAGCTCCACGGCTCACGGGTGGGCAGCCCCTTCACCTCTGCCCCCTGCATCTCTCATTTCTGGTTTGTAAAATGGGGACCAAAATGACCATCTCCGTGGGCTGCTGTGAAGACTAAATGAAATGATGACTATTAAGCACCGAGCGAGGGCTTACAAAAGCTGAGCTGGACCTGTTAGCGCCCTGGGTGCCCAGGCCCGTCAGCGCCCCAGCCCCAACCCGTGCGGAACCAGGCCGCACAGAGCAATTCTTCTACCTTCCTTCTTTATGTTGAAAACTCCTCCTTCCTCAAAGTAGCTCAGGGCAAAAACCTGGGACTCCTCCTGCCTCTCCTGTGTCCCTCTTCCTTTGCAGACTGGCTTTGGCCCCTATGGCTTCCCAGTCTCTGCCCAGACCCGGCCCCACAGGCCTCCTCACTCCCTACCCACACGGTCTCCCAGCCTCCTGCCTCCCCATCTCCCCTTTGCGTGCCTCGGCCACCATTGCTAAAGGAATCGGAAACACAGGGCTCCTGGGGTGAGTGTTTGGGGGCGACCCCTTGGCCAGGGCAGGCTCTGCTGTCGCTGGCGCCTCTGGTTAGAAATGCCGGGCTCTGTCCTCAGCCCCAGCCGTCAGCGCCCCTCCCCGACCTTCAGAGCTGCCTTGGCCGTCCTTGCAGGAGGCAGGCCATGCCTTGGCCTTTGGCAGGACCCATTCCTTTGATACGTGATCAGAAAATTCAATTATAAAACCAATTACTAATTTCCTGAGCTTTACAAGGAAGACATGAACGTTTGATTAAGTTTGAATTCCTGTTTGGTTGTTGATTGTCGGCCAAGGCCCAGTGGGCTTGTGGGAAATTTTTATTGTTGATCCTGTTTGGTTTTGTGGCTGTGCTCTTGGTGGGGGGGGAGGCACATTGATTTTGTGTTGTGGGGTTCCCCCCACCCGCCACTGCTGCAACCAACTTGCTGAATGGCTGCTCCCCTGTTGTGATGCATGAGATGTAAATCCCCCAAAGACCCGTTGCCAGGGTGAGGGGCTGGGGAATTGAGCTCAGCTAAACAGAGGCCTTCAGCTTTGCAGGCGGAGCGTGCGTTTCCCATGCGGAGCTGAGCTCCAGCCGGCGGACAAGGCTGCGTTCAAGGGCACCGCACAGACAGGGCTGCTGGGGTGGATCCCTGGTCGCGCGGGAGCAGCTTCAGCAGTGGACTGGGCTCCGGCTGCCCCCAGCCCCTGCCCAGGGAACAGACATACAGCTGCAGAGGTCAAGGGCCAAGGGGTCAAAAGACCAGAGCCCCTCAGGTGCCTGTCACCTCTCCCCCCAACCTGCTGGGCCCCAGCGGCCAGGGCCCAGGGCAGTGAGGATTGGAAAGCACACCTTTGTCTGCAGCCAGAGCGCCTTGCTTTTGGGGATGTTTCTGGGGAACTGAGCAGAGCCTGTGATGGGATCTCGGGGCTCCAGGTCAGAGTCTGATTTGGTTCTGGGACCCACGTTTCTTCTCTCGGAATAAAATGAGACAACCCCGGTTCTTTGGGAGCTGCCGCCACCCCAGAACTCCTCCTACGAGGGGCATAATACCCAAGGGTGGTGCTGGGTCCCCCTCACAGTGTGTCCCCCAGGCCTAAACCCCCCAGTTGGGGATGGAGCCCTGTGGGTGTGAAAGGCTTTCCCATCTCTAGGAATCCTGCTTAAAGTACCGATGCCTGTGGAGGGAGAAGCATCTCCCAAAGGGAATTAGCCGTCACCTAATTGAGAAAACAGCCCTTTGGGGCGGACAAGGGGATCCCTGTGCCCAGGGTGGGGTCAGGTAAAGTCCACCTGCCTCCCAGCTCAGTCAAGGGTGACCCCTCTCTCCAGGAAACACCCACACAGCAGCATCCCCAACGGGCCCACCTTGACCCCCAGTTCAGAGGTCACGGGCCCTGCCCAACGGAGGTCACGCCGCCGGAGAGTGCCGATTCTGGGCTTGGACTTGGGCCTGGGACTTACGAGTCCTACCCAAGCCCGTTTCCTCTGCAAACAGAGGCCCCGACACTCACACCCGCTTTGTTTGATCAGCTTGTTTGCTAGCGTGTTTGTTTTTGTAGGTGAGCATTTT